TCTCGTTGTCAAGGTAACGGAACAATAATCACTTCACCATAAAGCTGGAAAAAATGAAAAATTTTAGGAGATAAACTCACGAACAGTTATTTCTTATCTTTTTAACAGCTCCAGAACAGTAAATTTTGTGGTATATTTGTCTTCAGAAATTTTGAAGTGTACTCTATGGAATGTACTGTACAGGAGATCGTGATATGGAAATCGAAAAAAAAAAAAAAAAATTAGATATCGTTGTTTCCCAGCTATCTGGAAACGTGGAATTTCACTTCCGGTTGGATCAGAAACCGCGTGGAGTTAGGACCAGGGACTAGTCAGGCTGTGACTTCAAAACAAGAACTTAGGTTTAGTTATTTTTCGAACCAAGCAAACAGATAGGAAAAAAAAAAAAAACATTAAATATGCTAGGAATTGGGCAATTAGGCGTAATTCGGGCCGATTTTGGTTCAAAATTGTCAACAATTATGAAAGATATCAAACGTCTTACAGTGGTAGGGGTTCTTCCATATCTTGGTGGATCTATACCCTCACATCCCGGCATCTTTACCGTTACGATGATTTTTGTTATAAATTGATAGCCAGGAAATTCTCTTCAAATTTTTAGTACATAGTTTCAAAGCTGTAAACGTAAAACGCTTTCAACACTTACCATTATCGTCCAACAACAATTTGTACTGCATGTACTTGATTCTGGGTTTACAAGCTCGTCATAAATGCAGCCGCTTGTAGACTTCGTCAGCTTTGACCGGACCTAATAAAACAAAGTACAATCAGTTATCTCACAGCAACAAATTGGGCTTTGTTTCCGTCCAAATTACATGCAAACACGTTCACAGACCAAGACTTCAAACGCAAACGAAGTGATACTCACTTTCGACATCGTCAGTACCGCCATCGTGGGAGCGCGTAACGTCATCAGTGTAATGCGATTTCGTTTATTTTGCACTGGTTAACAAGCCTGGAAAGGAGAAAAAAGTCCTGAAATTCAACCTGATAATAAGATTTTGAATCGTAAAACGTAACGAAAGTTTTAAAATTGCGAATTAGTCGTTTACCCTTGCTGAACTTCATGAATAAAATGTGGCAGACGATTCCTGTTAAAAATATTTAGTGCGTAACTAAATAAGAATTTCTTAAAGGCAGCTCACATGTCATTTCATGAAACGAAAGAACGATTACTTTTAAAGTCCATAACGAAAAGGCAGCTTTTCTGTGAAAGAAGGGAATTTAAACGAGTCAAATGAAATTCTCCTCTAGCTGAAACGACATTGCTCTAAACAACCGCAAATACATATGAGTCGGCACAAAATGTAAGGAGAACATAATGCACAAATATTTAAGTAACAATTAACATCGGTCTCTATAACTCTACCAAACTGACAAGACATTCAACGCTACAGCCATATTCAGCCAATATTCAAAAGAGAGCACGTGTACCTTGTTTGCAAAAGTTTACGTTGAGTTTATCGCTGGTGCCGATCAATTATCGACACAGGACCACGGGACGTGTCTCTTTTGATGAACTAACGTTATAGCCTTCAGTTTTGACGCTGGCCTGGTGAAACAATCGATTCTTTTTGTCTTGGCAGAGCTATAAACGGAGAAAGAACTAGCGAAGCCGATGGCAAACTGAACTTGCGATGAATAACTACCCGCGCCAGCGTGCGCGCTATGACAATAATTTGCAATGTAAATTTATAACAGACGTTAGTTTCCCGCCAAAGACAATTATTATCATGATTAACATGATTGCTTCAGGAGTCGATAGACGTGAACTGAATATAAGAAAGTTGACTACCATATGATTATAATTAATGGATAGTTTTTGTAAATTAAGCAGATTGAAAATACTTGGCATCTGCTTTGCTAATGCCAAGGAAATGTAAAATGAAATAAAATAATTTCATGCGAAAGGAATATGGATACTGGGCGAGTGGAGTCTGCTCGTTGCGTGGAAAGCAGGAAATCATAAACATTTTTCTTTCGATAAATGTAGAAAGCAGTTAATTTGGAGAAAAATCGGGTCTGTTGTAGCAAGGTTAACTGGCTTGTTATTCATGAAATCTCTGTTGAACGACACCACTTGAACAAAAAGGTTTAGGCGATCAATGGCAAAAACAATATCGTGTAAGAAGGCATGAAAGTGGCGCAGTCAGATGCAGCTCCCCGATCGAGGATAAAAAATACAATAATATAAATTTTGCCTCCAGTAAGCAACTAGTCTGATAATTCCAACTAAGATAAGACTGATAGTGTAAATTCCCTTGAGCATTTACCCTATAATTCTTGCAAACTTTCGTCCGCCGATTATCATGCTCGGTTTACGAGTCGGTCCCGACTATAACTGTTTTTGAGTCTCCGAGAATGTGGAAAGATCTTTTTTTGTGTAATAATGATAAATTCCGCAAAAACAAAGCAGAAAAGCCTGCAGTGTAGATATGCGACAAGACTGTATGGGGAAGGTCTAGGAGGGGAGGTTTGGCGGATAGGTGTGGTTTTAATTATGGCGGTTTCTACACCCGAAGTACAAGCGGTTACGATCGTGGTTCTTCCTAAACAGCACAAAATTGGCTTGGGAACAGATATTTCAAAGAGCAGATCCCTCGGGTACCACTGAAAGCATGGCGAGAAACTGAATTACAAAAATTAAATGTTTGTCACCAGATTACAGTAGAACAAGCAACCGATTAGCAATTGCGACTGGCAGGCATTAAGTTCAATGAGCCGCATCAACTAACTCCAAGTTTTATTCTGCTAAAAGGGTCTTTAGTTAATTGTATGCAGGCAATCAAACTGTTTACATCTAGTAAAAGTTTATGTCACTGCATATATTGGATGTTGCATGATACCCTGTCACATTAAAGCATATTCCAAATTATCCTTCCCGCTAAGCCAAGTTATAAACAATACTCTGATCGAAGAACTGAAAACAATAGGTTACATAAGGTAGAACAGATGAAGAAAATATAACACAAATAGCTCATAGTTTTTTTATCGTGTAAGTATTCATATTTTGAAAAGAGTCGTTATTTCGGCGTAAATGATAAAGCCAATTAATTCACGCGTAATGAATAAAAATTAACGTTCTAATGTTTTAAACTTAACATTGTGACAGTTCAAAGTCGTACCGGCACAAACGAATTTTACATTTTTTCTTTTAAACAGCGCAAATGATATGTATTTTGTTGTTGTTGTATTTGATGCCTAGCATCATGTTCATTTCTTATTTAAACATTTATTTTTGCACAGACAATTAGTTGTACTTTGAAACGCAAGAACTGTAAAAACAGTTCATACCCGTTGGTTAAATAAGGTTTTATGTTACTTGTTACATGTAACATGTAAAGGTGAGTTAAAACGCCATTTAAGAATGTTTATAATTTATACGTTAAATATCCCGCAACGAATAAAAATCTCTAAGACAGTATTATTATTCCATCCTTTATAAGGCTTAGTTTTTCTTCGTCGTTTTATTTTTTTTTCTGATGTAATAGAGTAATTGTAATTCTTAGGCCTCGTCCACACTACTTTGGAGAAATTTGAAAACGGAGGTTTCACTCCGAAAACGCATCAAATATTTTCCGTCCACTCTACGCAACAATCACCGGTCATTTTGGATTTGCGCTTGAGGAAATAGCATTATTATTGTGACTCCGTCATTTTCGAAAATTTTCGTTTTCAAAATATTTTCCCTCCACATGAAAACGAAAAGCCGGAGTTTTCAAATTCCTCCGGTTTTAAGAGCGTTGTTGAAAAGCTTCGTGTGGACGGTATGCCTAACGGTAGAAATAAAGCTGCGTTTTCAAAATTCTCCGACGCAGTGTGGACGCTGCCTATGTTAGAATCGTTAACCATGAGCAATCGATCGGTACAATTTAAATTGAAGCGCACTTATATTATCAATAACTTCACCGGTGCATATTCCGGAAAGAATATATGTAGTGTTTTTGTGAAATAATCATGCTAAAATTCTGGACTTCAATAAGATTTGTGCTCTAGAGTGTGTTCAATGAAACACTTATTGACTATGATTCTAGAAAAGACTTGCATAACATCTGAGACTTCGAAAACCTCCAGGCAGATATCAAAAACGGAAAAATACGACCACGTTTAGTCCTCGAGGAATGATCAATCATGTATTAATTTTGTTGAACTCACGCTTTGATGTAGGAACATTTAATTTTTCGTGTTACCGGTTTGACAGTTTTCGCTGCAGTATTTTACAAAAGGGAACTAAAAGTGATAAAACCGCCCTCTTTCTCGTTATTAAAAAAAGACCAAACGTTTTTAAACCTTAATGCGAGTTTATCTTGAAATATCCAAGAAAATAATAGAGTACCACCATCTTGGGCCTCAAATAATGATTAGGTCGTTAATTTTCTTGCCTCGGGGCTGCTAAATAAACCATTTTTTTTTTTTAATATGCGTTTATTAGCGTTAGCCTGTCGCTTATCTCTCTTTATTATGGACCGAAATTAGTTTTCAAATATTATACATAACGCAGCGAGTTAAAATGGCTTATATACCAGCTGACTGCCTCAGTGACATACCAATTTTGTTTTAATATGTTGTGTTTTGAATGCATATAATAGAGACATGCTATTTTTCCTCGGCAGTTAGACAATATTGCTTTATCTGCACCGCTAATTTAAAGGGAAAACCGTCATATTTCAAAAAACTGCAAGTTTTCACCTGTGTTTGGACTAAAACGTGACAACAAACCACATATTAATGTCAGCAAAAGGATCAAAAGGAGATTTTCCGATCTTTAGTCTAAACATGTTACATCTCTACCGATCTTAATTCCCGTTCATTTGAATATCGCGTGATTATTCGCTTCACTATTAGTGGTAACGACCTTAATTGAACATCTGTTGATAACATACTTATTTTTGATTGGTTAGCGCGATAATTGACGAAACAGCATGCCAAATAAAGCGTTGTCGTGTTCAATAGAACATTCGATCATACTGTACCTTGCGATCAATCAAACCAGCCAAGCTGCTCTGGAAACTCCCCGAAGGTGAGTTGGACTTTTGCTATATATTCTCAATCCTATTTCTCATAGTGGTAATTCATGACAGTTTCGTCTCTTAACGTTTGTTTGCCCAATATTGCTTTCGTTGCTTTTGTATTCTAAACTTTAAACAAACTTTCAATTATCTACTCGGCACGTTAATACAAAGAAAACATATTTTGTGGTTGTTCATTGAGCCATATCTTGCAGAAAACACAGCGATTTCTGGTAAAAATGACTCTAAGATCTTTACCAAGTGTTCAAATATCCATCAAGATCTATCAAGTCAGCCTATTGGAAGCCGTTTTGAACCAAACTATCGCTGAACCCTTAAGAACGCGAAAATACTTCAATTTTTATCTGTATTTAACATTTCATCTCTTTCTTTGTAAAACCAAAAGCAGTAATTTTTTGGTCTTCTCCGTTATGGTTCGTTCTGATAATATCGCCAAAAAAACAAAGGAAAAAGAATCGTATCAACATTTTTTTTTTTTCAAGTGACGGATCAAGATTATCTTTCTCATTAAAATATACAGAGACTCAAAGAGAATCAAGAATCTCGTCAACTTCTGTTTTGTATGCTGTTTTGTAAAGGCCGCCTTAAACGTTAACCGGATAATTCATCGTCTCTTTAGCAGCACATGTTCGCTTCAAAAACTTTTATCATTGAAGCTCGTCCGAAGCTACAATCTTCGAACGATTTTTAAAATGTTACAAATCTTAGGCCATTTTCCTTTGGTATCTTGCATGATGTTTCTTAGCTTGCGTGCAAGCTTCTAATAATTCTTTTGTTTTGTTTGGAAACAGTTGCAAGCAGGTTGTAACCCCACAAGCTTGCAGCTTTAATCCTCAACGTGTTTAAATAACGTTTATTGTATTGTTGTGCGTGTAGGTTTGAATTACAAGAAACACTATTTGTTGTAAACGTTTTTTCGCAAACTTTTTGTTCTCATTTGGCAAAGTTTTACTGTCTAAATCGCGGACTTAAATGAACTTGAAAATTAGTTCTATATCAAAGAAAAAAAAACCCTTTTTGAAAGGAAAAGCCCCAAAATTCATGACAGAAAACATGCCTAAAGAGCACTCTTTATTTAACACTGGGTATTGATATCGCTTAAAGTGATTTTGGTTTGCATTACAAATCGTCAGTTTAAATGTCTACAATCAGTTTACCACTTGTGAGTGAATTTAAGACAATTAGTTCTAAATGATTACTCCAACCATGCTCACCTACAAAGCCACCACAACACGTGGAAAATTATTCTGTCGGAGAAAGCAGTAGATAAGGGAGGCGAATGGCTCTTAGAAAATCGTAGGGCTCGGAAAGTTTTGATGTGATCTCGAAATCTCAAAATCCTTTGTGGCGAGTCCCCAAGTCAATACCAAGTTTAATTTCTTAACCGCTACCTTCAATCTAACTGATGGGAATACGAAATCTCCTCATTGATTATAGGTTTACAGCTAGGTTTTGAGAATTTGAAACCTTTCATATGAAAATGAGTTTTATTTGTATGAAAATGCGCCTGTTGGTCAGCGGAACACATTTTCACACGTATGGTTTCCACGACTACTCGTTTTGACAAAGAGGCAAAAGGTGGCCTATCTCCTGCGCCTTTTGCCAGTGGGCATAGTAATGTTATGAGAAATTGCTGAGATATGCACATTAGAAATGAGAAGGAAGGAGCGCAAACAAAAAAAATATTCACATATTAATAAAGCTTCGCAAATGAACGAGATTAAAAAAAAAATGATCCGAAGTAAGTCATTCATAAACGGTGATCATAGCACATCTCATCTAAAAGAGAAAATGAACGAGGTACTTTATTTATAGAGCGTTTTTACTCACGTGGCCAGAAGCCATGCAAATTTATTGGAGCAATAGAAAGTGTTTGCATAAGAAAAGAGTTGAACTCCCACAGGATTGGTTTGGTACACCAACATGGCCGCCGTTTTGTTGTTTTGGAACACCAATATGGCTGCCGTGACGTCAGGTGAAAACGCTCAAAAGGCGAAATTAAAAGGCCCAGCTGCCGGGCTTTCAGCGAACTTGATCCGCCCGTTTATATTGAATGAGTCGTGGTTCAAGAAGTTCTCCATTTTCTTCTCCAGATTTCACAAATCCAAATGCCTATAATAGTAATCATTTAATGTAAATAGATACCCAAATAAGTGTCCACTTTCACTTCCTTCAATTTTCTCTTCACAACGACAATGCAGATTTTAAATCAAAGTGGCCCTCTCATGTAAAGGTTCACACAATGGCTTTCCTCGGGGAGGAAGTGGGGGAAGAAAGGGGAGGGGGGTGGAGTGCGAGGAGTGTTCTGATCCCCAAGCAAGTGCTGGGGTCACGCGAAACGTGTCACGCAGGTTATCTGTCTGGAAACGCCTCGAATTTGCACAACCCTTTACGTGCTTCTTTTTAATGCGCAAATGTTTTGAGGTGTGTAACATATTGAAGTTCTTCGCCGAAGACTTTCGAGGTGCTGGCTTCTTTTTTACAGATAAAACAGATTCGTCGTGCAACGGTATTTATAATTTCCAGTAAAAATTGCTTTCTAAAGTTATTTTTATTTTTATTCTTCAAGTTAAAAATTATGTCATACGTGACGCAATTTAAAGGTCAAGCGTAACAAACATGTAAGTGTATGCTCCTATCTCGGAAAGAGGCCAGATTTAGCGATATCCGCGCTAAATTACGTGAATTCATCCGACAACGAGAACCAACGAGAAGACAGCTGTGATTATTTTAAACCTAGCACGATAACGACTGATTTCAAATGACACGATTCTTGCAGACAAGCTGACGTACCCTATACACGGTCCTTTTTACGGAGAAATTAACTGATTGTGAAAGTGGGTTCTTTTAGGTATGTATTCATGATGTATTCTATACGTTTTGACTTGAGAAATGTGTGGCCAACACTGAAACATTTTGAAGAATTGCTGTTCATTCACTAAAAGACTGTTTGGGCTTCGGCCAAAGCTGTTCACCTGTACAGTTAACCTTTTTGTAGCTCAAGTTTACTATTCTTAGCCATGTACTGTTTTGCTCGCTAAGTAATATCAGCAGAGGTCAAGGACATCATAAGAAATCATAAAATTACTGACCCAAATTTAATGGCTAAATCTTCAGTATTGAAGGTCTCAAATTTGTTAAAAAGGCACTTGTGAAGAAGACCGGAAATTTCGTTAATTGTAAATAAAATCTTACATTCTTCAATTAATTGATACCTAGACTTTATTTGACCGCTGGATTTGGTGAACATAAGTTATCGGTTGAAAAAATAGCAATAAAAATAGGTAAAACAAAACCAAATTAAAAAACAAGAACTAAACTGTGGAAAATATCTGTAGAACTGAGTGCGTAATATTTCGAGACAGATAAATCACAGAGAAGATTAGTTTGTTATTTATATATCAAATTGCGTACTTTTCAAGCTAGCAGTTGTCCTGACATTGTAAAGTTGTTAAACCAATTTCCTCCGGAGTTGTTCTTGTTTACACAAGTTTAAATTTCCGCTCGAAATTGAGCGTCATGCCGTCAGAAAATTTTGTTTTTTCCAAACAAATAAAATTGTGTGTAAACAGACACTTAAGTGAATAATCCTATTTAACCCTTAATAGTCCGAAACCCTTAGTGTAAGCTTAGTTTGAAGAGATTTGTTCTTCAAAATATTAATTAAACTAATCTTCGGTTAAAATATCTTGTCGGTATTTTTTCTTTAATCTAGTACTTTTAATATTTTCCCGCATGCAGAATTCCCCGTAATTACTTACTGTTTCCGACAGCAGGAACATGGAATATTACTCCAGAGTTTCCTTTCTTTTTTCTCATTGTAGGAACACCTTACATTGACTGATTTAGAGGAAGCTCTTCAAAGAAGCAATCTGAGCGCTTTAAGGCTGATTTTATACAGGTCGTTCTTTTAAAAGACAGAAGTAATCATCAGACAATATGAAGTCGTCCACAGTATTGTGTTTGGTACTTTTGACTATAATTTTCGCATCTAGCGTGAAATTTTCCGCAGGATTTCCGTCAGCGGCACCAGAGAAAATAAGGGATGATTTGAAAACATTCGAAGGTAGGAGTTCGTGGATCGCGCCCCAATCTTCTATAGTCTGTCTCAGCCGTTTGTTTCTTCAGTATTTTATAACCAATTTTCCTTAGTAAATTATGTTGAGGTTTCGATCTCGATTTGAAGGCAGTTTAATTCAGTGTACATCTTAAGTTAGAAAATATATCATGCTAAATGAAACTCTGTCATTTCCGTTGTTTTTCACCTGTGTAAAGACGCTATTTTCTGAAAAAAGATATACTGTAATATCTAAGTTTGGATTTCAAAACCTTGGGTAGAAATGAAACGAACCTTTTTATTTACAGTGTATGACTTAACTACCAGATGATAATCTTTATATTCTAGAGATTCGAATAAGTTGATTCTTTTCTTTTGTTGTTGGTGAAGGTCTCTCGCGGTAACATCCTTTATGGTGACTTAACACGTCAGACTGTACAACGATTTCATTATATCACGTTGTAGTCAACCTTTCCATATTCTCCTCCCTGTCTTTTTGTTGTGTTCTTCAGTATTTCTTAGCCGGTGTCATGTTAACATATCATGCTCCTTCTACAGATATGAGGTCGCTCCCTTGTGAAGACGAGAAGGACCAGTATTACTGCATGTATGAGATCGCAATGGAAGAGTCGTGCGACTTCAAACCATTTGTCATGATGAAAGAATGCAGATATTCATGCAGCTTTTGCAGTAAGTGAAAAACACACAAAATATTTACCCACTTGTAACATTTGTTCGCAAAGGACTTTGCTTCAAAATTTGAACTTTTCATCCCTTTTTGTCGTATATTAGAATACCAGTCATTATATTTCTGTGGAAATTGACCTGACACATGAATTTTTTTTTTGCCAACGAAACGATGATGTCCCACGAAGATAATCCACCGAAAGATGCGGAGCCCCACAGGAATTGTTAAGGCCGAGACACACTGTGCGACAAATCGCTGCGGCACATCGCGGCGACAAGTCGCCTCGTCTGCACCGCTGCTGCGACAAGTCGCTGCGACAAGACACTTGTTCGGTGCACGCAAGCGATTTGGAAGAGGGGAAATATGAACTAGTTTTCCAAAGTTAAATAATTGACGCTCCCTCATTAGTTGATTTAAATTTGTCGCAGCGACTTGTCGCAGAAGCGTACACACGCTGCGACAAGGCCGCTTGCGCTTATTGTGTCGCTGCGATATGTCGCACGAATTCAAACCAGTTTGAATTCGTGCGACAGATCGCAGCGACAAAATTCTGTCGCAGCAACAATGATTTTCGCATGTCACATGAGGCGATTTGTTACAGCAACCTGTCGCGGCGACGTGTCGCAGCGCCAGATTTGTCGCATAGTGTGTCTCGGCCTTTAGACGTGTGTATGAGCGTGTCAGCACAATCTGGTTCCCAGACGTTTTTCCCTTGAAGTTTGGAGGGGTCTGGAAACAGTCGTTCCAAATTTTAAGGTAAAATCACTGGGAACAATATTACGTGTTTGGGCTTACGAAACAATCTCTTTAATCCTGCTAGGACTGTGAGTGGGAGGTGCCCGAGACGATCACGTGATCTCAAAGGTAACCGGTTGTTTCGCCGGCAGTTTGCCTGGACTAAAAGTCTCTTCGCTCGGACTGAAATTTCAAAGGATGTGTTAACTTTTCTTTCTGTACATGTAAACTAAACGGGTGAAATAGAGAACATCGCGGGTATAATGAAACAAAATTGCGCAAAACATGATTATTTCTCGTTATTTAATCCACTATTAGTCCGGGCGAACTGGGTTCGGGTAAACTGACTTTCGGGCGAAGCGACCTCGATTCCTCTCAAAACCGTTTAAGTAATGTGACCAGACTTTGCCACTTTGCGTTTTGCAAGGGTTTTTTTTTTTTTTATCGTGTATGATAGAAATATGCATATGTATTGATGATGATGATGACTTTGATGACATTTTTCTCTGTATCTTTTTTTTTTTTTTATTTCAGGCAAGTAAACTTATGTTTGAGGCAAGTCACGGAAATTACTTTCACAACTGCTTTGTAAATGCTGAAAGTTCACGGAAATCATTTCTATACAAATTACCTAACCTTAAATTACTTAGTTCAATTTATTGAATTTGCAGAGAAAGGTCTATAAACTGAAGATAATAGTAACTAAAAATATAGATATTTTTAATCATAGCTTTAAATAACTCTCGGGCGCACAAACAAAATCCCCAACCTGTGATGGTGAGCGTAGAGGGGGAGGAGTGAGTGGACCCTGACCATGGCTTTCTGTTTTTATAAAACATCTTAAAAGCAGTTTGTGTTTAGTTGATAGCATCAGCTTTCACATAGCGTCATATCATCAGCCATTTTTGGATCCACCATCTTAGATTTCTCTTATTTCTCAGGAACACACACACAAAAAGTAACGTAAACTTATGGTAAGTAAATCCAAAATTCTTAATTAATGCTGTCAAATAGGAATTTTGTCCAAAAAGAGACGGAATTTAGCTAAACTGGGATTCAAAAATGAGGTTGCTATGAATGCCCAAAAATGTACTTATACCTGTAATGGCAAAACAAAATCCCTCCGAGTGAACATTCAATTGAAAATGTACTGGAAGTTTCATAATGTTAAACTTCCTTTTCAACTTGCGGAAAAAGAAAAAAAGCAAAACGAAAAAGCAAAACCCAACGGTATCGTATCCACACTAGCATTTGAATTGTCTCGCAATCTTTGATCCCGTGACCAGCCATAAAATCGTCAGTCCACCCATTCGCCCTTTGTTGTACGCCCGAGGTTTAAAGCACCCTAATGCTTCGATCGGTGCTTTTTTAAAAGTGCTTTCCAGTATTGGAATTGAGAAGTGCTAAAAAAAAAAAAAAAAAAAAAA